GAGCAGGAACATAAGGACAAACACATGAAGACTGAACAACATACTACTTAACAATGACTGGGTAATACATCAAATAAGGGATGGAATTAATACATACCTAGAAACAGATGAGAACAATTACATGACAAACCAAAACCTTTGGGACCCAGCAAAAGCAATTATCAGAGAGTAATTTATAGCAATCAATGCACACATGAAAAAAGAGGCCAAAGCAAAAATCAACACGTTAACACAATTCTTCAAACAACTAGAAAAAGGGAAACAACATAAACCCTCCAACAGAAGAAAAGAAATCATAAAGCTTACAGCAGAAATAAACTTGAAAACAGAAAAACAATGGAAAAATCAACACCATAAGAAGTTGTTTCTTTGTAAGAATTAACAATATTGATAAATTACTGATAAATTTAATGAAGGAAAATAACTAGAAGATGCAAATATCTAGATTTAGTGTTGAAAATGGTCACATCAAAACAGATACAAATGGAATGAAAAGACTAAAACACTTCTATGAAATGCTGTACTCTAAGAAGTTTAATAATTTCATAGAAATAAACAAATATCTGAAAATTCACCATCAAGCCAAATTAATGAAACAGATATAGAAAACCTCAACAAACTCAAAACTGTTTTTTTAAAAAAGGTAAATTGCTTTCATATTTAAAATTATTCTGGAATAAATATATATTAAATTGCAAAAAGAATGATGACTAGAAAAAACAAAAGAAAACTTTAGTAGGGCTTGATCAAGGTCAATGTAACCAAGAGGAATTGCTGAAACCCAAATGAAGGCTGATTAAGATAGTGGGACAAGCGGAGAGTTAAAGGAAATAGAGGAAAGAACTAGGAGGCAAAGGACATTTATAGAGATGTAAATACAGGCATGTACATATGTAAGTATATTTATATATGACAATGGGGAAATAGATCTATGTACATATATTTATAGGTTTAGTATTAAGGAAGCAGATGGACATTGGGCCTCTACTCAAGTACTCCCTCAATGCAAGAACATTTTGTTCTAATAATCCGGCTATATTCTCACCTTCCCGACATGATCACTGAAGACAAATAGGTGCATAGCAAATGTGGTGAAGAAAGCTATTAAAATATATAGTCTCTGGAGTCTTAAAGACTTGAAGATAAACAAGCGGCCA